CAAAGACTACAGGGATATCGTACTGCTGTTATAAAGGATACAACTGAGATGGATGCAAACTCGATAAGTCTTGCCATTCAACAAACGACGAACGAACATAGAAAGAGACGACGCAGTCAACTCGAAAGGAAATTAAAAAACACGAGATCCTACAAACAATCCAATAATAACACTGACGCCTGGGTTAAAAACATCTCAGACAGATCTCTCGCTGAACAACAAACTCGTAGTTTAGCTAAAGGGTTAAATTTCAATACCAAAGACGCCGACGCATTAGATTACGTCGCAGACCTTGAATCTGCACTAAAAAGTACTTCACTCCCTGATGAAACTAAAGAACGTATTCGCCATCAAATAACAACTAATCTTCTTAATAAACGACCAGTTAGCCTCGACACTGATGAGCAAAAAGCAATCAAAGACTTACAAGATGACAAAGAAATCATTATACTACCAGCTGACAAAGGACGAATGACTGTAGTTATGAACAAATCCGATTATATCGATAAAGCAAACACTTTACTAAAAGACACGGCAACATATCAACCACTTGACACTGACCCAAACAAAACGACGGTTAATCGTATTAACCAGAAATTAAAACAACTTAAAGACAAAGGCAAGCTTGATGAACGCAACTATAGCAGAATCCGACCAAACGATGCCTCCACCGCAAAGTTTTATGGACTACCTAAAATACACAAAAAGAACATCCCTCTAAGACCTATCGTGTCTCTTCCAGGCTCCCCAACATACGAGTTATCCAAATATCTCGCCATGGTTCTTCATCCTCTTGTTAAAGTATCACCTCATACGGTTAACAACACTAATGCCTTTCTAAATAATATTAAGGACCTCAAACTTGAACCTGACGAAATCATGATATCATTTGATGTAGTTTCCCTTTTCACATCCACACCACTAGACACAGCCAAACGCATCACAAGTGAACTACTTAATAACAATGACACATGGAAAAGCAGAACTAATTTAGACAAAAACGACATTCTTGACCTTCTTAATCTTTGCCTTTCTACGGAATTCTCTTTTCAAAACTCCTACTACAGACAAATTTCAGGCACACCTATGGGATCTCCTCTCTCTAGTTTCCTTGCTAAAGCAGTCATGCAAGATCTAGAGAAGAAATCGGTCACCAATAACGATAACATCAAATCATGGAACAGATACGTTGACGATGTCTTCGCAACGGTAAAGAAAGACAAGACTGACGATATTTTATGCGAAATCAACCAAACGATTGAAAACATAAAATTTACCAAAGAAGAAGAACATAACAACCAACTTGCTTTTCTTGACGTTTTATTAACACGAACTAATGACGGAACAATAAACACACGGGTTTACCGCAAGAAAACACACACTGATCAAATCTTAAATTTTAACAGTAACCACCCAACTCAGCACAAAATAAGCTGCATTAGGACGTTATTTAACCGAATAGACACACACTGTAACACAGAAGAAGCGAAACAAGCGCAACGCAAATACTTGTACTTAACTTTCAAAAAGAACAACTACCCGACAAATTTCATTAACAAAGTACTAACGAAACTGAGTAACAAACAAACTAATGAAATTAATGAATCACAAAGAGAACCTGAAGTATCAAATAAAACAATTACCTTACCATACATTAAGAGCACATCTAAATGACTGCCAGACTACTTCGTCCTTTTAATATTGACGTAGCACATAAACCAGCACACAAACTTAGGTCATGTTTCACAAAACACAAAGACAAAACGACAACCACCGAAACAAGAAATGCCATCTACTTGATTCCTTCCAAAGACTGTCCACAACGATACGTAGGTCAAACCTCGAAGAAAATTGAAACCCGAATAACTGAACACAAGAACGCTATAAAACGACACGACCTTAAATCCCTACCCGCAGTACACACATACGACAACTCTCACACCTTCGCCTGGACAAAAACTGAACTACTGGGACGAGCACAAACAAAACACGCACGTGAATTCAAAGAAGCTTGGTTTAGTACAGACGACAATACTATTAACAGACATATTGATATTCCTGGAGTCTACCTGCAACTTAAGACAAAATGTAAGGACTCTATCAATAATCACATTAATGTAACTAATAATAACTTAAATCCACCCGCATCTGATACACAACAATCTAATCATTCCACAGCGACCATCCCTGACAACGAAATGCAGTCAACCATGACAACGCATCCCTCAACTACCACTCATATCAGATCAACTTCAAAACAACCAATCAGATGCTCTCAACGTATACAGAGTCTTAAAGAACAGCGCGAAACTTAAATATATAAAGCTATACACATGTAAATAATTTAGATATTCTGAAGAAGACTCGAAGAACCGAGTCGAAAGCTCAATAAAAAACAATTTTAAATCCAGAGAACATTTATTGATAAACAATATATACATATATATATATATATATATATATATATATATATATATATATTATAATATATATATCTATATATCTATAATCTATAATATATATATATATATATATCTATATATCTATATATCTATATATCTATATATCTATATATCTATATATCTATATATCTATATATCTATATATCTATATATCTATATATCTATATATCTATATATATATCTAATTATATAATTATATATATATATATATATATATATATATATATAATGTAATCTCGTTTTCAAGAATAGAAAGTGCTCAATACAAGACAATTTTGTAGAGCATTTAATTTAATGTTTTCATTACAATTTTTGAATGAATAAGTTGCTACTTCAAGTTTCATGAAACAAGCTATCATCAGGCAACATACTAATTACGGTTAAGGTTTCACGTATTACTACTCGCGATGTATTTGCTAACGCGTGTTCGTTTAAACTGTCCAGCGTGGAATTTGCGCGCGTGCACACATTTTGTGAAAAGTTCACTTTTTTGTTTAAGTTAGACCTAGAATAACAATTACGTAGTATTTGCAATTTCTCCTCTAAACATAAATTACACGATTTTCCTCCAGCCTTGATTGAATTTGCTAGGGAAACGATAGACCACTTATTATTATATTGTTTTTCATTTTGTTTTAATTTCCAAACATGCTTAGCTAGTTCCGTTTGTTTTTCGTATCTAATGTCGTTGAATGACCTCTTGTGATTTCTGTATCTCTCTTTAAATGTTGTCGCTGTCATATCAATGTATGTTTTTGTTTCCTTCGAGTCTTCGGCTTCAACCTTGGCCTTATAAACTAGATTTTTTGTCAAGCACATCTTATTTAGCAGGCACTCGTTCATGCTCCTGCAGTTGCATAGGTTTTCATTTTTGTTGCCGTTTTCGGGTTGTTGGGAGTGATATTCTTTGAGCACGAGTTGATTGTGCTTTGATATGACGCAAATATCTTTCATATCAAAGCACAATAAGAATATCTCTCCCAACAACCGGACAACGGCAACAAAAATGAAAACCTATGCAACTGCAGGAACATGAACAAGTGCCCGCTAAATAGGATGTTCTTGACAAAAAATCTAGTTTATAAGGCCAAGGTGGAAGCCGAAGACTTAAAGAAAACAAAAACATACATTGGTATGACAGGGACAGCATTTAAAGAGAGATACAGAAATCACAAGAGGTCATTCAACGACATTAGATACAAAAAACAAACGGAACTAGCTAAGCATGTTTGGAAATTGCTACAAAATGAAAAACAATATAATATTAAGTGGTCTATCATTTCCCTAGCAAATTCAATCAAGGCTGGAGGTAAATTGTGTAATTTATGTTTAGAGGAGAAATTGCAAATACTATGTAATTGTTATTCTAGGTCTAACTTAAACAAAAAAAGTGAACCTTTCACAAAACGTGTGCACGCGTGCAAATTCCACGCTGGACAGTTTAAATGAACATGTGTTAGCAAATACATCGCAAGTAGTAATACCTGAAACCTTAACCGTAATAAGTATGTTGCCTGATGATTGCTTGTTGCATGAAACTTGAAGTAGCAACTTATTCATTCAAAAATTGTAATGAAAACATTAAATTGTATACATATATATATATATATATATATATATATACAGGTGTAGTGATAGAAACTATCGTGAAGATAGAAACTAGCGCATACAAAATCGTCTGGGTAGAGTGCTCAATGCTAATGCAGAGCGGCATAACACAAGATGAGAAAACGCAGGTTACTTCATCGAAATTTTATTTACTACAGGACTGTTTCGTATGACAAGCTTATAGCTTGCCACACTCGTCAGGTAAATAATATAATATTACAACAGCAGACGGACTATATACAGGAGATGCAAATTAATTAATGGAATCTAATTAATTAATTATGCATCTCCTGTATATAGTCCGTCGTGCTGTTGTAATATTATATTATTTACCTGACGAGTGTGGCAAGCTATATATATATATATTAATATATATATATATATATATATATATATATATATATATATATATATATAGCGAACAATATATTCAAAATTTTCTAATATTTGATTTTATAAATATATATATATTATATATATATAAATATATATATATATATATATAAAATATATATATATATATATATATATTTCCACTTGTATGGTTAAATAGAAACGGGGACGAGTTTGCAATCTTACACTCCAATCTCATAGTAATTCTATCCCATAAATAGTAACCTGCGGACTGACATGAAGAACGAACGCAGGCTCAGCGGGAGTGACGTCACAACATTATTGAACGAGGATCATCCGTTGGGAGAGGACGTCAAAATTGAGCTACCGCTTGATGTTTGTTGTTTTTTCAATTTTGCTTTGGACTGTAGTTAGGTAAGTATATGAGTGATATAGTTGTTAAGATTGACGGTGAGTGATCTCTGTACGAGTCACAGTATATTAATTTCACCTAGATTGCCTTGCACAGGCATTCTTTCGGTTAAGAAATACAATATGGCCATTATTTGCCTATAAGTTGCCGTTCTTTCTTTAGAGTGGCAATGGCCGATGCCTCCGGTGTGAGCATCTGTTCGGAACATAGTTCACGTACTTCAGATCAGCCTGTGAGCGATCTTGATACCTCTGAACAAAGTTCAGTCAACCGCGCTATCTTGATGAGCTTGAATCGATTAAATGAGAATTTCGCAAGTTTCTCACATCAATATGAAGAGAGCTTTGTAGATACTGAATCTACACCGGCTGATGATGGTGTAGATAATCCTGAGAATATCGATATTCAAGCAGACATTGAGAGTTTAATTCAGGCGGACAAAACAATGGTTGAGAATCAGCTTGGTCAAAATGTTGTTGCAGATGCTAATGAGTGTGAGATTTTACAGTATGACAAACAATTAGACATTAACATTGAAGTCAAAGGTCCAACAATTAATGAAAAGGTTAGCAGTATTGTTGACAAATTACGTTTGAAGCGGATTAGCCAGGAACAAGCTAAAGCGATCATGAAACGCCATAATACACCTGAGAATGTTCAAATACGGTTACCTAAATGCGAGACAACTATTTGGAATGAAATTCCCGGTAGAGCGCGAAGCACTGATTTAAAATTTCAAACAACCCAAGCTGCCTTGTTAGGCGCTATCAATTGTCAACTCGAGGTAACTAATTCATTACTATCCGCTAACGTGTCAAAAGATGTTTTGACTACAAGTTTAGATGGCATCACGTTGGCTATGACTGCAAATTTCGAGCTCAACCAGAGACGTCGTGATGCTATCAGACCACATTTTAAGACGGAGTTTGCAAAGGGACTTTGTAGTACGACAAGTCCTGCTGATGAATTTCTTTTTGGCGGGGACACCGCTAAGCGTGTTAAAGAAATGGCTGAACTTAATAAACATAAAGTGTGTAAAGGTCCATCTCCAGTTTTCCGAGGTCGAGGCCAGCGATTCCAGCCATATAATACCAGAGGAGTTCGTAGTGGTGCTACTCGTGGCAGGTATACCCGAGGCTCTTATAACAGTTTTCCACAGCGTCAGAATTTTCCGAATACGCCCCAGACCGAGCGAAAGGCTCCAAACCAGAAGCCCAGTCGCAATTGGTATGTTAAATTAACTGAGGCTGATACACTTATTTCTAATCAGTTACCTTTTACTGCAGGTAATACTAAGAATTTTGTTGCCATGTGGCGCAAAATTACTTCTGATCCTGAAATTTTAGATTATGTCCAACACTGTCACATTGAGTTTACTGATGACCCTTCTTTGTATAGCAAACCTGGGCATCAACAATTTAATGTAGAACAACAGCAGAATATTACTAGGGAAGTTGAGAAATTACTTAACTTAGCTGTAATATCCAAATCTACGCATGTTCAAGGAGAATGTATATCTCCAATTTTCACAGTTCCAAAACCTGATGGTTCACATAGATTGATTTTTAATTTCAAACATTGCAACCAAACTGTTCTTTACAGACATTTCAAGATGGATACTCTAGCTGCAATCCTCAATCTCGTAAAACCTGGTTGTTACATGGCTTCTCTAGATTTAAAACATGCGTATTATAGTATACCGATTTCTCAGGAGCAGAGAAAATGTTTAAAATTTATTTGGGAACATCAGCTTTACGAGTTTAACGCCTTACCTATGGGTTTATCTAGTTCTCCCAGAATATTCACCAAGGTCATGAAACCAGTTCTAGCTACGCTCCGGCAAAAAGGACACATAAATAGTGGCTTTATTGACGATTTCTATTTACAAGGCCAAGATTTTTCAGATTGTGAAAATAATATACTTGATACCATAAAATTATTTATCAGTCTAGGCTTATATGTGCACCCTGACAAATGTGTTTTGACTCCGTCACAGGAGATTTTAATGTTAGGGTTTCTAATCAATAGTCGGAATATGGTTGTTAAGCTCCCTCTTGACAAAAGGGAACGTTTACGAGATCTATGTAGGCGGACTATGCAAATGAAATCCAGCACTATTCAAAGTATAGCAAGTGTTATTGGGTCACTTGTCTCTGCCCTTCCTGGTGTTGAATTTGGCAGACTGCATTATCGCAATCTTGAGCGCGATAAAATCAAGGCCTTAGCACTAAATAAAGGGGAATATAATGCTTTTATGACTTTATCTGATGCAGCAAAACAAGATCTTTCTTGGTGGATAGATAATGTTATGCAAGCTGTTAGGCAACTACGTCATCCTGAAGTCTCCCATTCCTTTCAGACAGATGCTAGCGATCTTGGCTGGGGCGTAAACTGTACAACGAATCCTACTTTACAATCTCAAGGGTTGTGGACAAATGAACAGCGCACCCTACATATTAATGTAAGGGAACTTTATGTTGTTTTTATTTCTTTGACAATATTCTTTAAGGACATATCTTCAGTGCATGTAAGATTTGAGTTAGACAATAAGACTGCTGTCAGTTACATTAATCATATGGGGGGATGCAAATCGGTTGCCTGTGATGTAGTAGCAAATAAGATCTGGGGATGGTGTATTCCTAAGAATATTTGGATTACAGCAGCCTACATTCCAGGGTACTCCAATGCAATAGCAGACTCCCTGTCCAGAAAACACTTTTCAGACCATGAATGGCAGCTTAATAAGCAGGTTTTTCAAAACATTCACACAATTTTCCCGCGACTTAGCATTGATCTCTTTGCTTCCCAGTTAAATACTCAGTTAGAGCGCTATGCCTCCTGGCATCCTGATCCACATGCTTCAATCGTGGATGCATTTAGTATAGCATGGGGAAGTGAATATTTCTATGCATTTCCCCCATTTAGCCTCATTCCAAAATGCCTGGGGAAGATCTCGGAGGATCAGGCGGAAGGAGTATTAGTGGTCCCTGCATGGCCAACACAAACTTGGTACCCTATTCTCCTTCAAATGTTAATTCATCAACCAAAATTGTTGATATGGACTCCACAATTGGAGCTACTGACTCATCCATTAGACAAGGTCCACAGCATGAGGAACAAGCTCAGGCTGATGGTTTGTCCAGTGTCAGGCAACATTACCAAAGCCAGGGCCTTTCTAGACACGTTACCAATGTTCTCCTCGACGCATGGCGACCTGCTACGCAAAAACAGTATGCGGTTTGTCTCAAAAAATGGCATATATTCTGTGGTGAACGGAAGATTTCTCCACATTCCCCCACTTTGAATCACGATTTGGAATTTCTGTATACCCAGCTTCACTTATCATATTCCAGTATCAACACAGCTCGATCGGCCTTATCTTGCTTTATATCTATTGATAATTATCCAGTAGGTAAACACCCTTTGGTTTGTCGGTTTTTAAAAGGAGCATTTGAAAGAAAACCACCCTCGAATAAGCATTATTCAATTTGGGATGTCAAGATAGTTCTGGAGTATTTAAAAACATTCATTCCCAACAGTAGCTTGAGCCTTAAGGAACTCAGTCACAAATTGGTTATGCTGTTGGCCTTGGTGACCATTCAGCGAAAACAGACTTTGGTTAATTTAAACATTAATACTGAATGCATGGTGAAATCTGAGAATCAATTCATTTTTGCTCTTGATAAGCATGTAAAGCAAAGCAGACCTAATTATTCAGTACCACCTGTAATTGTTCCCCGTTATACTCTTGATGCTGATGTTTGCCCATATATGTGTTTAGAAGAGTATCTGGAAAGGACAAAGGATTTACGACAAAACGAAACTTTGTTTATTGCGACCTGTGGGGACCTTATCGGCCTGTGGGGACTCAAACTTTAGCTAGATGGATTAAAATAGTCTTACAAGGTGCAGGTATCGATGTTTCTATTTTTAAACCACATTCTACGCGACACGCTTCTTCAACAGCAGCTTTTGCAGCAAGTATTCCAGTCGACGAAATTCTGAAAAGAGCAGGCTGGAGTAGTGCAATGACTTTCAAACGGTTCTATCATAAGAGTGTTATAGAATAGAGTTATATAATTTATGTGTATCCCTCCTAGTTGGTTGGTGATTGTGATATTTAAAATTATTAAAATAGCCTTTAATTCTCATAATGTCTCTTAACCTCTTTAATTGTACTCACAGAATACCGCGCAAGCTTTGAAGACTTCATGTCAGTCCGCAGGTTACTATTTATGGGATAGAATTTAAAAGTTAAACGAGACTTACCTTAAGTTGAAGTTTGACTGGAATTCTATCCCATAATAATAGTAACCAAGGACTGACAAACCCACCATCCCACCCTTGGGGGTTTTCAGTGTAGCCTTTTTCTCCTTGTTTTCTTTTATGCTTGGTTACTGTGAGTAGGTTAAAAGCAATGATGTGACGTCACTCCCGCTGAGCCTGCGTTCGTTCTTCATGTCAGTCCTTGGTTACTATTATTATGGGATAGAATTCCAGTCAAACTTCAACTTAAGGTAAGTCTCGTTTAACTTTTAAATTATACCAGCATGAATTGGAGCCAAATTCTCTTCTTTAGTAGGATGTGATCTAATATTTGAAATTCTAGTATTGTTTCATTCATTTCCAGTTACACTTGTTTGGTTAAATATAATCGATGATCAAATTGGAATCTTACACTCCAATGTGATAGTAATTATACTAGCATGGATTGGAGCCAAATTGTCTTCTTTAGTAGGACGTGATTTGATAGTTTTATATTTTCATTCATTTCCAATTACACTTGTATGGTTAAATAGAATCGGAATGAGATTGGAATCTTACACTATAATCTCATAGTAATTATACTAGCATAGATTGGAGTCAAATTCTCTTCTTTAGTAGGACGTGATGTAATATTTGGAATTATAGTATTGTTTCATTCATTTCCAGTTACACTGCTATGGTTAAATAAAATCCCTGATCAGATTAAAATTTTATACTCCAATCTCATAGTAATTATACTAGCATGGATTGGAGCCAAATTCTCTTCTTTAGTAGGACGTGATTTATTTCTTTTATATTTTCATTCATTTCCAGTTACACTTGTATGGCTAAATAGAAACCGGGACGAGATTGGATTCTTACACTCCAATCTCATAGTAATTATACTAGCATGGAATGAAGCCAAATTCTCTTCTTTAGTAGGACGTGATTTAATACCTTTATATTTTCATTCATTTCTAGTTACACTGCTATGGTTAAATAGAAACAGGGACGAGATTGCAATCTTACATTCCAATCTCATAGTAATGATACTAGCATGGATTGGAGCCAAATTCTCTTCTTTAGTAGGACGTGATCTAATATTTGAAATTCTACTATTGTTTCATTCATTTTCAGTTACACTTGTAGGGTTAATAAATATAATCGGAGATCGGATTCGAATAAAACACTCCAATCTCAAAGTAATTTACTAGCATAGATTGGAGGCAAATTCTTGTCTGTAGTGGGACGTGATCTAATATTTGAAATTCTAGTATGGTTTCATTCATTTCCAGTTACACTTGTTATGTTAAATATTATTGGGGATCAGATTGGAATCTTACACTCCAATCTGATAGTAATTATACTAGCATGGATTGGAGCCAAATTGTCTTCTTTAGTAGGACATGATTTAATAGTTTTATATTTTCATTCATTTCCAATTACCCTTGTATGGTTAAATAGAATTGGAGTCTTACACTCCAATCTCATAGTAATTATACTAGCATAGATTGCAGTCAAATTCTCTTCTTTAGTAGGACGTGATTTATTACCTTTATATTTTCATTCATTTCTAGTTACACTGCTATGGTTAAATAGAAACGGGGACGAGATTGGAATCTTACACTCCAATCTCATGGTAATGATACTACAATTAATGATACTACAAGAATTTTACACTCAAGTCTTATAGTAATTATACTAGCATGGATTGGAGCCAAATTCTCGTCTGTAGTAGGATGTGACCTAATATTTAAAATTCTAGTATTGTTTCATTAATTTTCAGTTACACTTGTATGGTTAAATAGAAACGAGGACGAGTTTGGAATCTTACACTCCAATCTCATAGTAATTATACTAGGATGGATTGGAGGCAAATTCTCGTCTTTAGTGGGACGTGATCTAATATTTGAAATTCTAGTATTGTTTCATTTATTTCCAGTAACACTTGTTTGGTTGAATATAATCGGGGATCAGATTGGAATCTTACACTCCAATCTCGTACTAATTATACTAGCATGGATTGGAGCATAATTTTCTTCTTTAGTAGGACGTGATTTAATACTTTTATATGTTCATTCATTTCCAGTTACACTTGTACGGTTAAATAGAAACGCGGACGAGATTGGAATCTTACACTCCAATCTCATAGTAATTATACTAGCATGGATTGGAGCCAAATTCTCTTCTTTAGTAGGACGTGATCTGATATTTGAAATTCTAATATTGTTTCATTAATTTCCAGTTACACTTGTTTGGTTAAATATAATTGATGATCAAATTGGAATCTTACACTCCAATCTGATAGTAATTATACTAGCATGGATTGGAGGCAAATTGTCTTCTTTAGTAGGACGTGATTTGATAGTTTTATATTTTCATTCATTTCCAATTAAACTTGTATGGTTAAATAGAATCGGAATGAGATTGGAATCCTACACTATAATCTCATGGTAATTATACTAGCATAGATATGAATCAAATTCTCTTCTTTAGTAGGACGTGATGTAATATTTGCAATTCTAGTATTGTTTCATTCATTTCCAGTTACACTGCTATGGTTAAATAAAATCGGGAATCAGATTTGAATTTTATACTCCAATCTCATAGTAATTATACTAGCATGGAATGAAGCCAAATTCTCTTCTTTAGTAGGATGTGATTTATTACCTTTATATTTTCATTCAATTCTAGTTACACTGCTATGGTTAAATAGAAACAGGGACGAGTTTGGAATCTTACACTCCAATCTCATAGTAATTATACTAGCATGGATTGGGGTCAAATTTTTTTTAGTAGGACGTTTTCTAATATTTTAAATTCTAGTATTGTTTCATTAATTTCCAGTTACACTTTTTTGGTTAAATAGAATCAGGGATGAGTTTGGAATCTTACACTCCAATCTGATAATAATTATACTAGCATGGATTGAAGCCTAATTCTCTTCTTTAGTAGGAAGTGATCTAATATTTGAAATTTTACTATTGTTTCATTCATTTCCAGTTACAATTGTAGGGTTAATAAATATAATCGGAGATCGGATTCGAATTTTACACTCCAATCTCATAGTAATTATACTAGCATGGATTGGAGGCAAATTCTCGTCTTTAGTGGGACGTGATCTAATATTTGAAATTCTAGTATTGTTTCATTTATTTCCAGTAACACTTGTTTGGTTGAATATAATCGGGGATCAGATTGGAATCTTACACTGCAATCTCGTAGTAATTATACTAGCATGGATTGGAGCATAATTCTCTTCTTTAGTAGGACGTGATTTAATACTTTTATATGTTCATTCATGTTTAGTTACACTTGTACAGTTAAATAGAAACAGGGATGAGATTGGAATCTTACACTCCAGTCTCATAGTAATGATACTAGCATGCATTGGAGCCAAATTCTCTTCTTTAGTAGGACGTGATCTAATATTTGAAATTCTAGTATTGTTTCATTGGAATCTTACACTCCAATCTGATAATAATTATACTAGCATGAATTGGAGCCAAATTCTCTTCTTTTGTAGGACATGATCTGATATTTGAAATTCTAGTATTGTGTTTCATTCATTTCCAGTTACACTTGTATGGTTAATAAATATAATCGGGGATCGGATTCGAATTTTACACTCCAATCTCAAAGTAATTATACTAGCATGGATTGGAGCCAAATTCTGATCTTTAGTAGGACGTGATCTAACATTTGAAATTCTAGTATTGTCTCGTTCATTTCCAGTTACACTTGTAAGGTTAAATAGAAACGGGGACGAGTTTGGAATCTTACACTCCAATCTCATAGTAATTATACTAGCATGGATTGGGGCCAAATTCTTTTTTTTAGTAGGACGTTTTCTAATATTTTAAATTCTAGTATTGTTTCATTAATTTCCAGTTACACTTTTTTGGTTAAATAGAATCGGGGATCAGATTGGAATCTTACACTCCAATCTCATAGTAATTATACTAGCATGGATTGGAGCCGAATTCTCTTCTTTAGTAGGATGTGATGTAATATTTGGAATTCTAGTATTGTTTCATTCATTTCCAGTTACAATGCTATGGTTAAATAGAGACGGGGACGAGATTGGAATCTTACACTGCAATCTCATAGTAATGATACTAGCATGGATTGGAGCCAAATTCTCCTCTTTAGTAGGACCTGATTTAATATTTGAAATTCTAGTATTGTTGCATTGGA